ACACAACCTAAATGTCCAACAACAGATGACTGGATAAAGATGTTGTGGTATATTTATACAATGGAAGACTATTCAGCTGTAAAAATGACAACATAACACCATTTGCAGCAACATGGATGTCTCTGAGAATGTCATTCTAAGTGAAGGAAGCGAGAAAGAGAAAGAAAAATACCATATTATATCACTCATATGTGGAATCTAAAAAAGAAGGAGGAGGAAGAGAAGGAAAAGGACAAAGAGAAGGAGGAGAAGGAGGAGAATGGACATAAATATAAAACAGACTCATAGACATAGAATATAAACTTGTGGTTGCCATGGGAGAAGGGGGTACGAAGGGACAGACTGGGAGTTTGAAATTTGTAGATACTGACAGGTATATATAGAATAGCTAAACAAGTTTATACTGTATAGGACAGGGAAATATATGCAAGGTCTTGTAATAGCTCATGGTGAAAACATATAAAAATGCATATATGTATATTCATGTATGACTGAAAAATTTATACACCAGAATTTGGCACATTGAAAACTGACTGTAACTCAGTAAAATTTAAATAAATAAATACATAAGTAAACAACACATTCTTGGGTGAAACTGGATCAAAGTAGAAACTCAAGGAGTAATTAGAAAATACTTTGAGACAAATGGAAATGAAAATACAACATACCAAAACTTATAAGATGTAACAAAAGCAGTACCAAGAAATACCAATAAACACCTACATCACAAAAGAAAAAGACTAAATTAACTTAAATTTTTACCTCAAAGAAGTAGAAAAAGAACAAACTAAGCCCAAAGTTAACAGAAGGGAAGAAATAATAAAATTCACAGCACAAATAAATAAAATTAGAAAATAGGAAAACAGTAGAAAAATAGACAAAACTGAGTTTGTTTTTGAAAAGAGAAAGCAAAATTGACAAGCCCTTAACAAGATTGAGAAACAGAGAAGACTCAAATAAATAAATAACAAATGAAAGAGAAGATGTTACAGCAGATGCCACAGGTGTTGCTTTTTTTTTAAGTATTAGAAACTATTTTGAACACTAAAATACCAATAAAGTGGACAACTTAGAAGTGGATAAGTTCCTAGAAGCATACAAGCTACCAAGATAGAATCAAGAATAAACTGAAAATTTGAACAGAACAAGAATAAATTAAAAGATTGTATCAGTAACCAAACATCTTCCAAGAAAGAAAAATCTCAGAATCTGTTGTCTTTACAGGCAAATCTACCATTTAAAAAGAAATTAATATCAATCCTTCTTAAACTCTTCCAAAAAAATGGAAGAAAGAACAGTTCTAAACTCATTTTATGAAGCCAGCATTACCCTGACACCAAAATTAGACCAAAAATTAGAAACAGAGCTGCCAATTGATCCAGCAATCCCACTTCTGTGTATGCACACAGGGAATTGCAGTCAGGCCCCCAGAGAGATGCCTGCACTCCCTGCTCACTGCAGCAGTGCTCACAGCAGCCGGAACATGGAAGCTGCCTGAATGTGCATTGACTGATCAATGGGTAAAGAAAAGCTGGTATATACACAAAATGGAATAGTATTCAGCCTTAAAAATAGAAAGAAATCCTCGCATTTGCAACACCATGAATGAACCTGGAAGACATTATGCTCAGTGAAGTAAGCCAGACACAGAAGGACAAATTCTCCATAATACCGCTTATATGAGGAACCTAAAATAGTCGAACCCATAGACAAGAGCAGAAGGGTGGTTGCCAGGGCCTGTGGAGAGGAGGAACAAGAAGGTGATGGTCAAATGTTCAAAGTTTCAGTTAGGCAGGATGAATCAGTTCTAGAGTTTTGCAGGGCATGGCACCTGTAGTTAATAATGCCATATTGTGTACTTAAATCTTGGCTAAGAGGGTAGGCCTTCTGTTAAGGGTTCTCATCACAATACCAAGTGAAGAAGGTGGAGGAGACTTGGACTTGATGGATGTGCTTATGGCACAGACTGTGGTGTTGGCTTCACACACGTACAGTTATCTCCAGTGTCACTGTGTCATATACATTAAACATGTCCAGCTTTTTCTGTGTCAATTATAGCTCGATACATTGGTTGAAAGAAGTGAATGAAATCTGTTATAATCTAGGGACCTGAAGACCTCATGGACAAAGCCATTGGAACACATTTATAATCCACAGTAAGTGACACT